CCCCGGCCCATGGCCCGGGCCAGGCCCCGCTGCAGAGCCGCTCCGCGCTGAGCTGCCGGGGAGATGGGAACTTGGCAGGGCCAGGGAGCGCGCCCGCTTCCAGCAACAGCCCGCGACAGGAAAGTGGGAAAACTGTTTTCCCTCCCTCTCCTCCCCCACCCCCTTTTTAAATGAAGACGATGAAAGCCGAGCGCTGGCAAAGGAGGCCGGGCCACCTTTAGAGCTGGCTGTTTGGAAGAGGTGAGGCGCAGAGATGGGGCGGCGCCCGGCGCATTAACCAATGGATCGCCTCCGCTGTTTAAATAGACTTGTAATGTCAATAAGTGGGAAAACTGTTTTCCCTCCCTCTCCTCCCCCACCCCCTTTTTAAATGAAGACGATGAAAGCCGAGCGCTGGCAAAGGAGGCCGGGCCACCTTTAGAGCTGGCTGTTTGGAAGAGGTGAGGCGCAGAGATGGGGCGGCGCCCGGCGCATTAACCAATGGATCGCCTCCGCTGTTTAAATAGACTTGTAATGTCAATCATTTTCTTCTTCGTCAGCCTCCCTTCAATCGCCATATTGGGCAACTGAGAAAAGGGCTCGTCTTTTCTTGTTTTTGCCGTCGTCTTCTCCGTGTTCGCCCGCTTCTCCCCTCCCTCCCCCAACGACGCGGCAGCTCTGACATCGGCGAGGTTTGCTGGCGCAGCTTGGATCGGGGGATCCGCAGGCTTCGCATCAGCCTGGAAGTGGGCTCGCATAGGGGCTTGGCTTGCCCCATCCTTCGCTCTCCCCAGCGTACACTTGATCTGCCCGAGACTTTCTGGTGACTATCGGGGTTCTCTTCCCCCCTCCCCTCTCCCCGGCCTGCGTCTTATGCAATTGTTTGGTGTTGTCTCTTCTCGTGGAGCCGAGCTCGAGTGTAAAAAACAAAGGCACGGAAGGAAGGATTTCAACTTAGCGACAGCCAGCCACCGCCAGAAGAAAGAGGGTGGGGGGAGATGTCAAACGTACGTATTTCTAATGGGAGCCCGACCCTGGAGCGGATGGAAGCCCGGCAGTCGGAGTATCCAAAGCCTTCCGCTTGTAGGAACCTCTTTGGGCCGGTGCATCGTGAAGAGTTAAGCAGAGACTTAATGAAACATCGCCAGGACATGGAAGAGGCATGTCAAAGGAAATGGAATTTTGATTTCACGAATCACATGCCCCTGGCTGGCAGGTTCGAGTGGCAAGCGGTGGAGAAAGGGAGCTCGCCGGAGTTCTACTTCAGGCCCCCCCGACCCCCCAAAGTCGCTTGCAGATCTGCCCCTCACGAGAGTTTGGATGTAAATGGAAACTGCCCAACGGTGATTGTAGTTGGTTTTCAGGGGAACTCAGAGGACGCTCACTTTGTAGATCAAAAAACTGATGTATCTGAAAATCACACGGACTTAGCAGAGCAGTGCACTGGGCAAAGAAAACGACCAGCGACGGATGGTAAAGTACTCGTAGAAAACAAAAGCCTTTTTTTTTCTACTGTCTGTACTGTATCCTTGTAAGCATTAACGCTGTATACCTCTTTCGCATGTACATCACACTCTTGTCCTGCCTACGGTAAACTGTTCTGCTGGTGACACTTTTAAGATTTATTGTTTCTCTTAGATCAAAAATCCAGCACTGCCTATATTCTCGGGAATCTTAAATTAAATTGACTTCTGGAGCCCATGGCCCATCTGCAACCAACCTTACACCTTCCTCTCCCCCCTTCTTCCCCTCCGTAGTAATCGGGGGAAGTCTATATCCTTCTAACGTGAGGAAATAGTACAAGTTTCATAGCAAATATGAAACAAAGTGTAGAAGTAGATTTTCGACAAAAAAGCCTTGTTTTTATTTAATCAGAGAACCAGTTCTCCCCATCTCTTTCATGCAATCGATAGTTAACACATTGAGGGTCATAAATATTCAGGGTCTTCACCCACCCCCATGCAGAGAAAACATCTGGCAGCAAATGTATTGAATATTAAGTTTTCACTTTTATTTTTGTTTCTTCCCATTTTCCCTTCCTAGATTCCTCTCCTCAGCCTAAAAGAGCCAACACAACAGAAGAAGAGGTTTCAGAAGAACCCCCCAGTGCCAGTTCAGTGGAGCAAACCCCCAAGAAATCCAGCCCAAGAAGACGTCAAACGTAAACTGTTTAGGTGAGTACCCATCCAGTGGTGTTTTTTTAAAGCAGCGTAACTAAGCAAAGAGTTAAAGGAATATGGAGAAACTTTGTAGACTAGTATTTTAATACACCAAAATGTTCAAAAGGGCTTTAAAATAGAAGGCTACAGATTAAATACATTTTTGTTAATATACTTTAGAAAGACTATGCTAAACTTTGGGGAGGGGGAGAGATGGGGAGTAAATGTGTGAATTTTTACTATGTGTCATTAATAAACAATCCCTTTCCACTGGTTTAAGATTTTGGTCACTTCAGTAAAGAGAATCCTCTTACCAATTATATCTGTACTAGTCTGGTAGAACTAGGGAGTGATAAGTATTGATGGCTTTTCCCATTGTCTTTTCATATACTCATTGTGAGACATACAAATAAATAAGGGCAATAAATCACAAAGCTGAACATTTTCTTTATATCAAAACTGTTCTTTTTGTTATTTTTTGTAGACTCATACAAATTGTTGTTTACAGTCAGTATACTGGCTTAATGAGAGGTTGTTTTTTGGGGATTTTTTTTGTTTTTGTTTTTTTTTAATGCAAGGAAGGGCTGTTGATTGGTACATTTACCGATGGTTTCAAAGTAGTGGGGGTTAAAGGAAAAGGTTTCCAAACATGATTTGCCATTGTGCAGAGCAGATTAAGCTATAAAAGCAGAAGTTAAAACAAATTAGCCCTGCTGGGGTAAACAATCCATGAACACGTCAGCATGCATGTGTATGCAAATTGTACTACTACTGTCTGTTTATTTGGGTATTTGAAGAGGAAACTGATGGTGTCTGCAGACAAATAGATGGAGTAGAAGAGATTTGTTTATTTTGACTATTGCAACCCAAAATACGTTAGAGTTCAGAAAGTAGAAGATATGTTGCAAAAGAATCTTGTATTGATCTTAAATATGCCATCTGGGTCAGCTATCAGACTTGTTGCAAAACAGCTTAATAACACAGCATTTATGCTATCTTTAAAAAGTGAAATGTGGGAAACTCTGGAAACATGTTCACTTGGTCTCAGCTCACCTGCTGGATTTAAAAAAAACCCTCTGTGTGTGGCGCATCAGCCCTCTTTAAGGATGGGGTAGGGTGAGTTTCCTTTGTTTTTTTAAAGGAATATGTCCCTCTTTTACCTCACACCCCATTTAAAATTGCGCCATCCCCAACAATTAGGGAAAAGGATGCAGTGATCGATTTAGTTTTTAAATAGTGACATGTATGTTATGATGTCCTCTAGAGCAAAGCTATCACATTTCTTTTGGCACTTCTAATACCTTCCCTTCTTGTTTTCATTACAGAATTAAGAATATACATTTCCTTGTTCATCGGATGCCTCAGTGGTTGATGAAGGGAGGAAGATGTAAAGTTATATATATATAAATATATATAAAATTAAAATACATATCGTTGATTCTCCATGGGATGGAGATCCTGTACAAGCACTGAAAAAAACAAAAAAACAAAAAAACAATAACACTAAAATTTTAGGCACTCTTAAAAGACCTGCCTCTAAAAGCATTGGATGTAGCATTGTGCAATTAGGTTTTTCCTTATTTGCTTTATTGTACTACCTGTGTATATAGTTTTTACTTTATGTAGCACATAAACATTTGTAGGGATGGGGGGAGGGGATGGAAAAGGGTGACCAATTGAAACTTGCTTTTACAATCTAGCAAGCAGGGAAATTTATGAAGAGAAGCAGTGTAGAGGTTCTTTAAAAAAAATTAAAGATGTATTGTCCCTGTAAGTGGGATCTATGATATCTTTTAAAAAAATACACCATAATGCTAGCACTGGCTACAGGAGACTGTTACCCTCTGTGAATTTCTACTTACTGTGTTAAGCTTAAGAGGTGGGAACTCTGATTCCGTTATGTAGCAGGAAAAGGATTTTTATGTCCTGCAACTCCCGAAATCTCTTAGGATAAACTAAAGAATTTTAGAGTAGTTCCACTGACTATAACTATTACCCATAACATCTGGATATTTTCAAATGCATCTGGGGAGTTCATATTCCAAAATAAAATATTGTTGATTTCTGATCTCTTTTCCCTGATGTTCATGAGTGCATGAAAAGGGACACTACATCTTTAAAAAGTATTTCTACATTGCCTGTGTATCTGTATGTAAAAATAAAAACATAAGTTTGAAGTGTACCTGTGTACATAACTTTGTAAAGACACTGAGAAATTATACTAACTTATTTATGTTAAAAGATTTTTTTAATCTAGAAGAAGATATTTTTCCCCATAAAGCCAAAGTGGCATGTTTTGTGCATTTGTAAATGCTCTATTTGGTAGACTTTTAGGGTTTTTTTTTGTTTGTTTCTGGTTTTTTTTTCTTTTTCTGTTAATTAATATGGCTGTGCTGAAAGGATTGCAGACTGAGCCAAGTTTAATATTTTTTTGTAATGCGTGAGAAAAAATTGTCAATTGATATTGTTTCACATCAAGCAATCAATAAAGAAAGCTGCCATATATATGAAATGAGTTCTCTTCTTGTGTGTTTCAATTTCATTCTTTACCTGGCCCAAGGGGAAGTAGATTACTTCAAGTAGTACAGCAGGTTTCCCTCTGTGTGTCTAAAGAACTGAGGAAAGTAAGGAATAAAGATACATTATAAATATATACATTCCTCGGGCCATGTGTCATAACTTACTGTTACGTCTACCAGTAATAGGCATTATCTCAGATTAACTGGGAGCAAATGCTCTTATCCTCTCGATTGGGAGGCGGGGTGGTGTTAACTTCTTGTAACACACCATTTTGTTTAAAAGGCATACTATTGAAAAATTAATTGAAATAACAATGGTCACAACACACTAAAATACGGGGTCATACTTGTCATCAGATGGCATAAGATTTGGCCAACTGTATGTCAAACATAAACTGTTGTTAAGGCCTGGATCCTTACAGATTTAGGCTTCTAACTTCCATTGAAATCAATAGAGGTTACCAGCCTAAATACCTCTGAGGAGCTGGGCCTTAAATCCCTCACCAATCTATGCCTGGAATTTGTCAGCTCTACTTCCCTCCCCCTATTTAAAAAAAAATTCTAGTTTTGATATGACTGTCTCTAAGAACATATTTTTATATTAACAGCATCTTACCAAATGTCAGTGTCATTGGTTCCCCTCTACTTTCCCTCCCCAGCTCAACTAAATCACAGCATTCTGCACATATAAAAAACCCCTAGTAATTACATTGATTATAGTAAGTACACAATTGGGTTTGCTTTTAGTATGTTGGTGCTTCTAAATTATCTCCTGTTTATGTTTTTTGTTCCATAGAGAGAGTTAACCAGTAGGCAATATTTCAGGATCTATGGCTTTGGACCTGATCTTGTACACACTTATACATTACCCACCTGAGTAGTCCCATTGAAACCACAGGGCCTGCTTTCCTGTATAAAGTTAAGCATGTGCATAATGGTGGGGGTCATTCATGGCATCAGGGTTTCTAGTAATAGTAAGTCACTTTTATTCAAAGGCCCCTCACTATGTCATTGTACTAAGGCTATTCTCTCTCTTCTAGTATAGAATGATGTGCAATGTAGGGCGAATTAGGACTAACAGAAGTGGTGTCAGATCGGGATAATGTTTTCCATCTGATTTTAAGATGCTACATTACAAACTGCAAAGAGAGCCAGTTTCCTGTGGAAAGGAGCACAAACCTGCATCAAACAGGCAAAATGCAGGTAAGGTGGTGCTATCTCCTATTAACCTTTTTTCACACAAAACAGAAGAGGTTGCAACACTACTGGAAAAGAGCATTAAACACAGGGCAACTTACATGTAAATAATGCATTGTAAATAGAAATGCAAAATGAGGTTTTATGAGCCAGATCTAAGACCATTTAAAAATAAAGGTAATTAGACATAATTCAGAAGTTGTTCTTTCACATTCACCCTTTCAAATTTCTCTTCACCAGTCACAGAACCAGCACTGGTTAGCAAAACCTCCTATCTCGTCAGGGGGCTGGTTTTTTTTCCTGTCTTTCCTAGAAATCTTGAGCAAGTTTGTGCCTCAGTTTCTCCTTACTTTCCTCAGCGTTGGCGGGAGGGGACTCTAAACAGAGCCATCTCCTTTAGCTGGAACGCCCCATTGCACTGTTAAGTTGTATTGTTCACACTATATTTGCCACAGCGTGGGTCTGTTGGAGTTGATCAGCTCTTGCTGGTGTTCTCACAGCTGTTTTTCGGACAGCTAGCAGACATCCAGGCCCCTTGAAAATCGCGTCTGTGCTACAGAACAAGCCCTAAACCTCAGCAAGGAAAATCCATGTCTAGCCGGCAGAAATACTTCGAGTCTTATCCACTTGCTGAAATACCCCGGTAAGCGAGGTCCTGTTGTTTATTTCACCGCGCCTGGGTTTTCCCTCCCTCGCCGCGTTAGCTTCGCTGCAAACACACTCTGGCGCGCAGCGTGTGCTCACTGCCCCTGCACTTACAAGCGGGACGGGAAAATCGAACCGTTCCTCCCTCAGGAGCTGGCCGCCTGAAACCCAGACGTGTGAATCACCGACGCGCGCGCCGCCTCTGTGCTGGAGGCGAGGCAGATGCCACCCGGGGACTCCGACTGTCCCAGGTCTGGCGCAAGGGAGTGGCCAGTGTTGGGGTTTCCACTGCGCTTTTCCTCCTCTGCCGGCCCAGGGATCGCTCCCCCTCCCCTCCGGGGGGATACTGGTGGCATCCAGCCCCCTGGCCTGTCCGCCTCTCGCTTCCACAATGCGAGGTCTCTGCGCGCCGAAGGGCCAAGAAAAGCCCCGAGGTGAAGCAGAGACACAGGGCGCTCGCCCTGCACAAGAGTGATCGTGGATGGGAAATAAACAGACAGCAGCTCCTCCCTGCCTCAGCCTAGCCCCGGGCCAGCGCGAGCCAAGCCTCCGCC